ACATAATTAATAAGGTATATCAGGCAATGAATTTCAAGCTTTATGCCTTGAAAATAAAAAATTTACTTTCCTTTCAAGAATCCACATGACAATCACAAACGTAACCACATATTGTCCAAAAAGAAAACTGTAATTTCTCCTTTCCAAAAAAGGAGAAATAGCATAGTCCACATTTTCTGATCACAGTGTGATAATTAGATATTAACAACAAAATCAGAAAATGAAGCCAATTCCAACCAGAAATTTTAAAACTCTCTCTTAACTCTTGGGTCCAATGAAATACAAACCAAATTTATAGGTTGCCTAGAAAAATAATAAATAAAAGCACTATATATTATAATTGGCAACAGTATAACAGTGCTTAGAGGAAAATCAATAGCCTTAAATATTTATATCGATAGAAGGAAAGAATAAAACTAAATTCAATATTTGACACTAATTTTTTTTAAAAACACACAAAATATATTTAAGAAAACCATAAAGGACTAATTCATAAAGGTAAAAGGAGAATTTAGTTAAGTTAGAAAACACAAAAGTAGCAGAATCAATATATTTTAAATTTGTGTTTTGAAAAAAAATTTTAAAGGGTAAAACATTAGATCATCATATCACGAAAAAGAGGAAGAAAATTGTAGACACATAAAGTTGAAAATGATAAGTAGGAAAGAAGCACAGAGAGCAAGAAAAAATAGTAATAGTCGTGGTTAACTCTATTTCAAAATACATTTGAAACTTAGGAAGAATAGAGAATATTCTAGGAAAAAGGAATTGGTTAAAAATAATTCTAAAAAAGATACAAAATCAAAACATATCCACTTCCATAGATGAAATAGCGGAAGTTGACTTGCATCCCCTTCAGACAAAGAAAGCACTAGGCCCAAAAAATTTCACAGAGAAATCATTTCACAGCTTTAAAGAGCAGAGAATACCAATGCTAAATAAATTGTTCAAGAGCATAGAAAAAAGATAATTATTAAATTATTAGCAAGAAGAATCTAGCCCCACGTTTTAAGAATACTCAAGACGAACGGAATTTAATTTGAGAATTCAAGGACTGGACCATTCAATGTTAGGAAACTATAGGTACAGTCATGCATCTCCTAACAATGGGGATATGTTCTAAGAAATGCATCATTAGATGATTTCATCATTATATGAACATCATAGAGGGTACTTACACATACCTAGATGGTATAGCCTACTATCCACCTAGGCTGTATGGTACTAACCTTATGAGACCACAGTCATATATGCCCATCCGTCATTGCCAAAACATCATTACGCGATGCATGACGGTATTTATCTCCAAAAGCCAGCCTCATGATTCTCGGGGAAACACCAGAATCACTCTTACTACAGTCAGAAACAAAGCCACAATACCCACAACCCATTATTATATTATCGTATTGGATTATTAGCTAATGCAATTAAACAAGAGACATTGGAGATTTAAAAAGAAAAACCTGGAAAGAGAGCAATTATATTATCTGCAGATGATATGATTGAACTTGGAGTTCTCAGAAGGAACAACTGAAAAATAACTTCTATCAACAGGAAGATTCTATAAGGTGGCAGAGTATAAAATTAGTATCCCTTAATTCATGGCCATCATATATATACAAACAGCTCATTAGTAGATGTAATGAGAGAAAAAACTCATTTATAATTAGGTACAAAGAAGAAAAAAACTTTTAGGAATAAAGCTAACAACAAAATGTGAGATTTATGTAAAGGGCATAAAATAAAATTTAAGCAAAAGAAAAGACATATCATGTCCTTGAATAGAAAGACTCATAGAGGCCATAAAGGTTACAATTCTCTTCAATTTATAAATTAACATTATCTCGATAGAGAAGTATATATATATTTCTTATTTGTTTTATATGTTCATGTGATATATATACACACATATAAACACACATAATTTTTTTTAAACTAGAGAAACTGATTCTAAGATTTCTTAGAAAAACAAATGCGAAAAGTCAGAAGAATTCTGAAAGGAAGAACAGTGAGGGAGAACTAGCCCTCTTAGATTTTGAAATCTATTATACAGGTTCAATAATTAAAACAATGCACATGGACAGACAGACCAACATAGCAGAATAAAAGTCCAGAAATAGACCACAAAACATTTGGGAACTTAGGATGTCGTAAAAGTGGCTTAAATGGGCAATGATGGCCTATAGAAACATTGTTAATGGGGTAACTTGGATCAACACTTCATACTCCACACAGGGATACGTTTCACATATGTTAAAAAAATTAATAAAGGGTCTGGCCCCATGACCTAGTGGTTAAGTTCGGCACGCTCTGCTTCGGCGGCCTGGGTTTGGTTCCTGGGCGTGGACCTACACCCCTCCGTGGCGGCCACGCTGTGGCAGTGACCCACATACAAAATAGAGGAAGATTGGCACAGATGTTAGCTCAGGGAGAATCTTCCTCAGCGAAAAAAAAAAAAAAAATTAATATAAAGAAACAAAAATGTATTAGTGCCAAAATAAAATATGGGAGAATTATTTTATAACCCTAGAATGTGAAAAGTCTATTTTCTAACTAAGACTCAAAATACAGCACCATAAATGAAAAGTTTGATAATTTCTCTTGATGAAAACCAATAGCTCAGGGGCAAAGCTATAAACAAAACCGAAAGGCAAACAAGAAACTGGGGGAGAGAGGGGAAATTGACAACCCATACCACAGAGAAAGAGTAGTCTTTCCAGTAGAAATCAACTAAAAAACAAAACCAATAAACAAATACAAAAGTGGACAAAATATATCAACAGACAATTCATAGAAAAGATTTGAAAATGGCTCTTAATGTATAAAAAGATGCAATCTCACTCATGATAAGAAAAAGAAAATGAAAACTGCACTGAAATGCCATTTTTCACATACCAGATTGCTAAATTCAAAAGTTTGACAACACACTCTGTTGGTAAGGTGTGGGGAAGCACTTTCCTTCATTGAGGATGGGCGGTGAATTTGTGTAAAGCTTATCAAGGGCAAGTTGGCAATATCTATTGAAGTTACAAATGTGTATGTTCCCTAACTTAGTAATTCTACTTTTGAGAATCTATCCTACAGATAGACCCAAACATGCATAAAAATGAGGTACATATAAGATTAACTGCAGTATTATTTGTAATAGTAAACAGCAGAGGAATGGTTAAATAAATACAGTCGTTTGTGCAATGAAATATGATGCAGCTGTGAAAAATAGCAAGGATGAAGAAGCTCTTGTACGGATATGGAAAGACAGCTGAGATATTAAATGAGAAAAATAAGATGCAGAATTATATATATAGTATGCTATTATTTATTTAACAGGAGGCACAATGAAAACATATGCTCATATTTGCTTGCATATGTATAATAAAATTCTGGAAGCACACAAACCCAATAACTGGTTGGTTTCTTGAGCAGATGAGGGACAGAAACAGGAGGAAGCATTAATTGTTTTTTTTTTCTTTTTTCTTTTGCAACTATGTTATTATCTATTCAAAAACTTAAGAAACAAATTGAATTAAAAACCAGAAATCTTCCATCATAATACCGAAGAGAGAGGATTATAAGAATGCAACATTCCCCAAGACACACCTGTCCATCCACTTGCTCACACCTTGCAGCTCTCTAAACATTCCTGTTAGTTGAGCAGGCAGTGGCAATTGGATTTTTAAATCATATTTACAAACTCTCATGTGACTGGAGAGCACCTGAGTCCAGTATCTGCTTTCAATCTGCCCAGGGCAGTGATTGAGGTCTCCTGGAAAACAGGCAGCATTAACTCGCTACAAGCTGGAGGCCCTCTGACCCTGGTGGCTTATTACCATTTGCTCTAATTCTAGTACTCTGGATGTCTTTGTGCTGTTTGGGGCAGGCCAGCTGGCTCAGCCTCCTCCTGGAAATCAACCTTCATTAGATGGAGCGCTAATGACTAAATTGATCTGCAAAGACCTAAGCTTTGTAGTGCCCTGGAGGAAAGGAGCCAGAGGCCTGGCTCACTGGAGTTCTGAGATGTTCTGTAAATTCAAATAAGTCTCTTTCCCAAGGGGCAGTTTATCTTGAAAGGTCACAGTCTACAAGGCACTTTCCCTGTTGGCTCACCTTTTACTCTCAGCCAAACTCTCCTTTGCCCAAATGTGTGTTTTGAGTTTGTCACACCCTTGATTTAAACACACAAATCCTCCAGAAGTGAAGAAAGAAGCCTCTTTAGACAGCACATGTATTTTATGCCCGGCAAAACAATGTTACCCACATTCTGCCATAGTTTTCCCAGAGAATCAATGCAGAATTGCTCACTTATCTGTCAAAGTGTCATTATCCACTAATGAGAAAAGAGCCATTTTTCTCATACTTGGAACACCTCAACATATTCTGTAAGGGAAAAAGTTAGATTCTTGTTATATAGATGTTTAATTCTGCAAAGTAGAACAAACAAACCCAAAAAAAGAGGAAGAGGAAAAGGAAAAAACAAGGAGGAGGAGGAGGAGAGGGGGTGGAGAAGGAGAGGAGGAAAGGAAACAGGATGGATAGGCTAAATAGCAAGCATGCATCAGAAACTAGCCCTTATTATTGGGGACTGTGTAGGCACCCTGATGTGCCCACCTCCTTCAACGAAAGCCTTGTTGCCCCACCTCCTGGGAATGCTGTCAGCCCCTTCAGCGTTAACCTCACTTGCAGTGACTCTTCTTGCCCAAGGTCACCCGCCCTTCCTGGAACAGCCTACATCCAATGACTGAGCACTGCAGGAGCAAAAAAGTCTGGCCTCAGCGCACCTTGGGACAATTCTCAAGGGCTATTCTAGCTCCAGCCCCACCCTGATGGTCAGTGGTTAAGATCTGGTGCTTTCACCGGGTGGCCGGGTTCGTTTCCCAGTCAGGGAACCACATTACCAGTTTGTCGGTCATCATACTGTGGCGGCTGCGTGTTGCTGTGATGCTGAAAGCTATGCCACCGATATTTCAAATACCAGCAGGGTCCCCTCTGGTGGACACGGTTTCAGCGGAGCTTCCAGACTAAGACAAACTAGGAAGAAGGACCTGGCCACCCACTTCTGAAAAAATTGGCCAGGAAAACCCCATGAATAACAGCAGAGCATCGTCTGATATAGCGCAAGGTGAGAGGATGGCACAGAAATACTGGCAGGGTTCTGCTCTGCTGTCCATTGGGTCGCTAGAAGTCAGAATTGACTCCACAGCCCTAACAGTTTTAGCTCCAGACCTTCTTGTGAAGCCGGCTGAGGCTGCCATGGCTCCTGCAGCAGTTCGCCTTCTCCCTCTGCTCCGTCCCGCTTCCTTCTGCTCCCTTCCACAGGTGTTGATCTCAAGGACACTCCTGAATAAACATCCTGCATGCTAAACTCAGTCTAAGAGTCTGTTTCCCTGGAAGCCCACGCTGTAACATGCCAGGTGTTTTGCACCTGTCTCCCTCAGTCCTCAGAGTGCTCTGCCTTAGATATTATCATTCTCTCTTTGTGAATGAGGAAACAAAGACTGAGGGGGTTACATAATTCTCTCTAAGGTCCGCAATGAGTCTGCTGCGGAACTAAGCTTTAAACCTGTGAAGATGTGACTGAAAAGTACCTACTCTTTGTGCTCCAGCACATTGCCCCCTAGACAGAACCAGTAAGATAAAAAGCATCCTTGCAAACTTTCTGAAGAGAAGCAGTCGTTTGATTTCCACCTACAAAACGAGACCTCTCTTCTGTTCTTCAGCAGGGAGCAGCAGGACCACATTACCTGAAGCTTCTATTAGGCTAAGTCTCCTACAGGCACCTTACCAGGTAAGCCACGGTTCTAGCTTCAGCACCCAAGGTAAAACCATTCAATTTGAAAGTTGTGATGCGGGTAGTAATTCCTAATTCTTTACAATTAAAATTGATCAAAATGAATATACCAACAGAACAGTCAATGAGTCTCCAACACAGTGTATCTGTCTCTACATGAGAAATAAGTGTAGGCTTCAAGGGTTATTATTGCCAAAGAAGCTGATGGAGATGTTCTAGGTATTTATTTTTCTGAGGGACAGCTGCTATAGCTCACAATCAGACAACAATGGGAAGGGGGAAGCAGAGAGCAATAACATTATTTTTGCAGCCCTAAGTTGAGCTAAATCACAGGCAGAAATCATTCTACTTTCAGCCGTGAACTGATAGGACAGTGAAGTTCTAGAATCTTTTAGAGAGAGGCTTAAATTTTAAGCCACTACTCCAATCTAAAACATTGCTTGGTTTCTCCACTTACCCAAGAATAGGATCGGATGAAATTATTGGAGAAAGAAAACAAGTATTTGAAGATTTGAAGGAGAAATATTAGGGGAGAGAATAATAAAGAAGAATAAAAAATAAAACATATATATGTGTGCATATTTCCTATATATACATATATGATATTGTATATATATTTTTTTCTTTCTATCAATCCCTCATTTAATCTTTCCTGATTCAGTCCTATGAAGCAAAGGATTGTTTAGAAACAGTTTCATGATGTGATACATTGTATACTAGTGTTGCATTTTTATATATTAGTTTGCTCTATTTATCGCTTTATGATTGTGCACAGTTCATTGGAATGTAAATATTAATTTATTGGTATAATGGTATTTTATCTTATTGAACAGCATTAAATTTAGAAATGTCCCTAGGTGCTGCCAGCAGGACAGGTTTCTCATAATCAAATGACTAAATAGGAGGTCAAATTATTTTGTAGAATTTGCACCCACAGTCCTATGATTTGGTGGCAAGAATGTCATCAGCAGAGCCATTAGTGCCATAGTAACCTCTGTCTTTGCACATTTGCAAATTACAGATTCACATCTTTGCTCTGATTAGCTCCTGAAGTGCTGAACAAGAACTTGTAATTATGCACTGCAGTCCACTCTACTGACAGACTGACATTACAATTTGTATCCAAGCCCATATAGCTACAGAATGTAAAAGTACTATTGAATGAAATTAGTTCATTTGGATCCACTTGTACTAATGGAATGTGTCATTTATATTGCAGAACTGGTTTTGTCTTTTATTCACCACTGTGCTAAGCCTCCAGTGCTAAGGACAGACTATTCCCTCAGTGCACCAGTCTGAACAATTGCTCTCCCTTGGAGCTTGTGGCAAAGGGTGGGTTAGTGGGTAGTGAAATGTCCTTGGAACCAGAAAATCTGCTTTCCTCTCCCAAAAGCACCACCGACTCTTTTGATAATACGAGATAGGACTTTTCATACCTAGACACATGAAACAAAACAAATGTCTGAAGGATCCACTTCGTCGTCCATCAAGGCTAGAATCAAGAAACACATCATATCCCAGGGAAAGTATCCAATTGCAAAAGATAAATTTCCAATGTTTTGAACACCTCAGAAAAAAATTTGGTATCTGAGTTACCAATGATTCATTGACTTTTCTTCCACATACACCATTCTTAGAGGGTTACACTCCAGGTTACCCAACAAGTCCAGGCCTATTTAATTTATTTTACTTTTTCTCCTGTGGTATTTTGGCTTCATCCCATGTTAATAATTTACCTGCAATTTCTTATGTATTAGCATTCTTCTACCTTTTGCTAAGAGTTTAAGTGTTCCGTGATGTTTCATTAGATCATCACAGATTTACACGAATCAACATACATTCCCCCACTGTTTTTGGAAAAGTATATTAGTGCCATGACATACAGATTGGCTTATATGAATGTAATTTCTAACTTGTGGGAGCTTCCATTCTAAAGGAGACAGACATGGAGCAAATGGAGGTATAGCAGTGGTGGTGAAGAATGGAAGAATTGGGGACAACATACATGAGCACTAGAATAAACATGAAACATACCATTCAAGGCGGTATACATATTATAGGTTGTGCTGCAATCTCACCAATGTGGTCTAGACTTGTTTGGCCAATGTGCTAATCTTGAAATAAAATTTACCATGAATAGCATTGTTTACACCTGGAATAAGTGTCCATTGTAAGAATTATAAAGAGAAATTGTATCATTTTTGAACTGAGGCTTAAACATCGATCTGTCAATCTGTTATATTCTCTTTCCATTTTATAACAATAATGATAGATAGATAACAACTTATAGAGGGCTTATTCACTGCCAGGCACAGTGCTGCGAGTTGTATATGTATCATCTCCTCATAATAGTCATCTGGGGTAGGTTCTACAATTATTTCCATTTTATAAGAAAACAGGGGCTTGGAGACAGGGAAAATTACCCTAAGATAGGATAATTTCTCCAAGCACTCAATCTTGAGAGCCTATATTGTTACCAACTATTGGTTTTAGTGCTTGTAAGTTACAATTGATAAAACTATTTATTACAGAGCTCTTCTTTGGGTGTCATTTTCAAAACTTTGATAAAGTGAAAATATTACATTAATTTTTTTAAAAGTTATTTACTCTGAGCTTGGGTCATACAGTCGAGGCAAGAGATCTGAAATCAGAAGGAAAGTAGGATTTAGAGCAGGGCAAAAACCACAGTCTTTAAGTATAGGTCAGTTCATTATTGGGTTGATGGAGTAGGTTGAACTACTAAACAATGACGTTTGCAAAGATTAAAGAAGCTCGAAGTTCAGATTGAAAGAGATGGGAGGCATTGTTTGGAATCGATTAGTAAAACAGATACTTAATAGGAAGGAAACCTGGGCTGACCAGTTTCAAACCAGCACTACACTTGGTCTGCTTCGGGTAACCTTAGATGACTGGTGGTAAAGAAACATTTGGAGGTCCAAGGCGTTTGCACCTAGAACGTAGAACATGAGGAGAAACAACCCAGAGACTCAAGCGGCCTGGAACTAATCTCACCCTTGTATGCTTTTCTCACTCTCCCGTGTGCACGGTGCAAGTGTCACATCCTGACTTTTGTGGAAGGAATCTTCTTGGGCCTCTGCTTACGTCTCCAGCAGCTGTTCCAGTAATATTTTCCTTGGAGATGTGCTGAGGAGCTAAAGCTTCAATACAAATTTCACATCACTCGTCTGCAGACTTTTTTTCACTGGCTGTTTCAAATGGAACCGATCAGGCTGCCAAGGAAGGTAAAGTGATCAGAAGAACCTTTCTGTGCTAGAACTGGGTTCCACTTTTCTGTCTGCTTCTGTCTTTTTATTCTTTTTTTTTTACTTCTTCCTCTTTAACAGAATAATTAAGAAGCCTTCCAGAACTTAGAACTAAATACTCTTAAGTTGTTAACATTCTTTTGCGCTCGACTCAAGATTGAACAGATCAGATGTTACAATGGGTCTCTTGCTCAACAGCTGGGGTGTCACTATGGAGTGAAGCGTGTGATAGGAACACAGACAAGGCAGGGAGAGCGCTCTCCCTGCTTGAGCTGAGAGTTATTTTTAATTACTCTCAGCCTCCTGCCCCTGCCAGGCAGCCTTGAGACATAGCTAAGCTGAAAAGCTGTTTCCCAAAAGGCCTTAGGGATGTATTGGCAGAAAACTGTTTGGAGATGTCCCTCAGAGACTAATGGTAGAATGCTTTAAGTAGAGTCAGTACATCCGAGAGTCAGACTTTTGTGTATTTCAAAGATGGAAGTGTCTCTCAATTCCACCCGCCTAGTTAGTTTTAGTTGTAACTGGTCAAAAAAGTCATTTTGTTTATTTCTCAGTCCTAATGCTGGCTTCTTCCGCCAGGTCTGCTTTCCTCTCTGGCCTTCATTTTCTCAATTAGTGTGACGAGCACACGTGTTCCTAACACTCACGCAGGAGTGCTGCGATGTATCAGGAATGAGCGAGGTGTTTCCTTCTTGTGAATTTTGCTGGTAAATCTTCCCTGGCTGTGTTTGATTCCTGATCATGTCCTCTACACATTTGCTTTTCATGAGCCTGTCAACTTCCCTGCTTTCAGCTATACTGGATTCCTAAGTGTGTATATACCTTCCTGATTTCTCACCTAAGTGCCTGTTTCCAACAGCATACATTGTATCGCCTCTTGATTTTTCAGCCGATGCCTCAAATTCAACTAATCCCAACTATCCCTGATTAAATCTCCTTTCTCAAGAGACCATTTGAAAGGAGTATCATTTAACTTTAATTACCTCAGGGTGAACCCCCTGAAAACACCTTTGGGAACTGGAAAAGAAGCTCTTGGTTTACCCTCACATGTTTTCTACTGGCAGGTGTTTTGGTTTGGTCAATGCAACTGGATCTGTGGTTCCCTGAGGGCCGTCTTGTAGATAGGAGTCCCCTACATCTCTGAGTACTGCACACTC